GGCAGACTCACGCCTGCGCTGAGCTGAAACAGCGTTAACGCGACTCCTTTAGGCAGCTTTAAACCACGTGTTCCTCTGATGCTGACGAGAGTGGCTTACACACTACTAATAGTCTCAGGTTTATATTTGGCACCTAAAGTGATTTTACTGATATTAATTAAACCCCTTAAACTAAACTGTCTTCACTGAAATATTAATTTAAGGTTTGTCTTATCAAAATAACCTCGAACCCTCATTCGGTTCCACTGCTCTATGTTTGCACATCAAATGACTCCTCAGACGGATCGTTGACATCGATGCTTTGGATCAGTGTAACCTATGTCTGAGTCTGAATGTGTGCTCCTCACCTCCAGCATCTTCTTCCCTCTCAGCTCGTCTCTGTGCATCCACAGATACTGAGCCAGCACCACCGCACACGGCCACACATACATGCCGAACTGCGGGTCGAGGACCTGAGGCACCAAAAGAGTTTTGGTTTTGTGGAACAAAATTAACACATGCAGACTCATCTGTTAACTGTTATCCTCTGATATCCTGTTGGCCAGTAATGATAATAAGTTGAGAAAATGAACTAATCAGTTGTTAAAGTGACAGAAAGCTGTGGTCCTAATTGATTCCACATCTAAGAAACTTGAGGCTTTTAGAGTTTCTGGCTTTTCAAATCACAAATGAGTCAATCTAACGTGTGCGCACAGAAACCTGACTTTATGGATTCATTTATTTACCTCCTGCCTTCCACTTGCTGTGATATAACTGATGGAGGACACCAGGAAAATCAGCAATGATGGTCCAGTTTACAAAAATAAATATATTAGGCCGAATAAAACAGAGGACTCGAATTATTAAAACTTAAGCATTATTTATGTACCTATGGTTAATTTCAATGAAGCATGATTCAACAGCACGCCGGTTAAATGGTTATAAATTTTACTTAAACATAAATATGCTTGTGTATTGCCTGTATGCTGTATTAAATCGAGGATTTTAAAATGTGAAAATAGTCTCGATTTGAACAAAAATTTGACCACTTTTAAGGAGCTAACACGTCGATTTCTAAACAGCACAACAACGAATTTAATTTATAACAAAGCATTAGTTTCTCACTCTGTGTGTTTTCTGTTGCTATACACTCGGTATAATATTACATTTACAGGTTTGAACAGACCTCGGGTATGGAGACACAGAGGGACTCCCGTGCGTTTTCCCTCTCGTCTTCAAACGTGAACACTTTATAAGCTATGCTCGGCGTTTCGGTTCCACTGTCGGCCATCCTGTAAGCATACACGCTTTTAACTGACCTTATTACATCTACCTGCCATCAGTCCAGTTCTTTGTTTTTAGGTATAAACCCCATATTAACGCTTTTTATTGGTATCCATGAAAGCCTCATGCCACAGCTAACGCCACATTGGAAACCAGTTCCGCGCAGACCAAAACAGAAAGGAGGGCCTTAAAACAGCCAATGAAAATCACGGGCGGGAAGGTTCACTCGACTGCCCAACCAATTGACACTTAACTTCCGGTAGCTTATGTAGCCAATAAACTACCAATCTTTCCAGAGGGGCGGTGGCTAATTGCGTAATCAGTTGCGAAAGCATTGTGTCACACAGTTAACAGCTAGCTGCTCCTGTTAGCTGTTTATCAAACTTTATCCGCCCGGCAGGTTTTAAGAGTTCTGTCTCATCCACCATCTCACATCGGAGGACGTGTTTATCACACACCCGGCGGGTGGCTGTGTCGTTTTATCAGAGAAACACGGCGAAGGTGTGAGAACAGCGCAGTTAGCCGGGTGAGAGCGCAGGCTGTTGGATGTGTTTGTGCGGTATCACCGGGTTAGCTTGACAGCTAGCTGAGCAAAGATAAACACGCCGGGCGGAGGAATGAACCACAAGAGCAAGAAGAGGATCAAAGAGGCGAAACGCAGCGCCAGACCCGAACTGAAGGACTCGCTGGACTGGATAAAACACGGCTACTATGAGACCTTCGACGTGTCGCACCGTACTGTGAAGGTAACTGTTGATGCTAAGCTAACAGTGGCTAACAGGGGAGTGCAGCTTGTCACGTACACAATGTGTGAGACGGCGGCGCGAGCACGTGAGATGTTTGATATGAGCTCCTGTTAATGTCCGTCTGCCTTCATCACACATATAACACCGAGAGCCAACACGAAGTAAAAGCACTGATAGCCCGGGGATAGTATCAGTAACACAGCAGGTGTATCACAGCTGCAGACGGTTATATTCTCTTAATAAACTTTGTTAACATTTTATAAAAGTACTTGCGAAGAAGAAGTTACGACCAAACTTTATTCATGAAGCACTTTTACAAACTGTAATTCAGACATTTAGTGGCCACTGCAGCCGAAAACGATAAACGATGAAACACAAAACACAGTAAAAGACAATAAACTGGTAATGACCTAAAATAACCGTGTTATAATAACGACACCGTAATATAATGTAAAAAGATTAATGCATCAAAGATAAATACTAAAATATTCACGATACAAAATAGAATGAAGTATATTGGGCACAAATACTCTATTTGTTCATCCACAGGAAGATTTTTCCCTCCATTAAATATTAAAATTTTAACGATGTGCAGGATTTAAACATGGGAAGGTTTCACAGTTTGATCTCATGAAAAGCAGGAAAACACCAAACTGAGCTGCAGCTGTGTGACGTTCAGGGCATTACAGCTGTTATAAAAGACACATAATGGTAATATGTAACACATCATCACGGCTGGAAGGAGGTGAAAGATTATGTGAATACAGACCAGATGAACTTTAAGCAGCCGTGATTGAGTGAAAACAGGTGGCAGACTGAGGGCAAACCAGTCTGTGAAGGAGTGACCTGCATCAAAGAGCTGTTGAACCAACACACTCCTCTTTCTCCTGAATTGTGGTGGTTAAATTAGCATTTTAAAAATTTGGAAAACACATTAGAAACATCGAACGCCGCTCTGTGCTGTGTTTCAGGACGGTGTGGAGCGCGTGGACACCCTCCATCTGACCACAGAGGAGTTCATCGAGCGCTTCGAGCGGCCCTACAAGCCCGTCGTCCTCCTTAACTGTCAGGAGACCTGGCCCGCACGGGAAAAATGGACGCTGGAGCGCTTAAAACGCAAATACCGCAACCAGAAGTTCAAGTGTGGCGAGGATAACGACGGTTACTCAGTGAAAATGAAGATGAAGTACTACGTGGAGTACCTGGAGTCCACCCGTGACGACAGCCCGCTCTACATCTTTGACAGCAGCTACGGTGAACACGCCAAGCGGCGGAAGCTGCTGGAGGACTACGAGGTTCCCGTCTTCTTCAGGGACGACCTCTTCCAGTTTGCAGGAGAGAAGCGCAGGCCGCCCTACAGGTGAGCGGTCTGTCTGCTCCGTCTCTGTCCAATCAGGAGCACTCGCTCTTCATTTGATCAGCTGATTGGTCAGATCTCTAACCCTGTTGGCTGTAATTTGACCTCTTGATGGATTATTTGATTTATGTTCAGTTTCATTTGGCTTTTGAGCCCTCAGATTTACCCAGTACCCACATGAACCCTCTTGATTGCTGGAGGCAAATTAAACTTAAATCAGCGTCTTTAACTTCTATAATTGGCTGTGAAGCACCTGCAGCCGAAACCACGGCTGTTCTTTTATTACCTTCTAAAGCAGAGCGTAAACTGGGCCTCTCCAGCCTATTTCCTCTTCACTTATATTTTCATGTGAAGGCTTCTCGGCTCAGCGTGACACCTTCAGTTCAGTTTGTTTGCTTTTACAAAGGTTAGAAGTTTTTAATGAAATATTTTTCAGTTTGAATGAAGCAAAGCAGGAAGAGCTGATGTGTGAAAGATGAAAGAGGAGGGCTTGTAGTGCAAATCGGGATACCTTCAGCCCTTTCCCTGACCTCATGATGTTTTCCACTGAGGCAAAGGGATTAGAAAAAGAAAGAGGAGGCAGCTTCCTGCATCCAGCAAGAGTCCAGGTCCGAGGGGCTCAAACCTGCATTCTTTCTCCAGCAGGAACGACTCCTGTGGTCTGAGGAAATGTGTCTGAGCTCTGTAATGACTTTCCTGATGAGTTTATGGTTTCAGGTCTTATTAAATAAAGCTTGAGTTGAGATTGGAGGGAACTCCAGGCCTCAAGGGCCAGTTTTAGACGTGTCCTTGATCCAACACAGCTGATTCAAATGGCTGAATGACGTGATAATGAACTAATCATTTGATTCCGGTGTGTTGAACCAGGCTGATATCTAAAACCTGCAGGACACTGGCCCAGAGGCCTGGAGTTTAAGGTGTGTAGTAGCAGGCATGAGCTACTGCCAGTCTTTAGTTTCTCTTGTGACGTCTGACTTCATTCGCTTAATTTCCCCACAGATGGTTTGTGATGGGCCCGGCCCGGTCCGGCACCGGCATCCACATTGACCCGCTGGGCACCAGCGCCTGGAACGCCCTGGTTCAGGGACACAAGCGATGGTGCCTGTTCCCCACCAACACGCCACGGGAGCTGATCAAAGTGACGAGAGACGACGGCGGCAACCAGCAGGACGAGGCGGTCACCTGGTTCAGCGTGGTTTATCCCCGCACGCAGCAGCCCACCTGGCCCGCAGAGTTCAGACCGCTGGAGATCCTGCAGAGACCCGGGGAGACGGTGTTCGTGCCCGGTCAGTGAGTTTATCCATCCGTCCGTTCTCTTTGTCCTCGTCAGGGTCACGGAGGGGGCTGGCCTTATCCCAGCTACCATGGGGTGAGAGGCGGGGTACATCCTGGACAGGTCGCCAGTCTATCGCAGGGCTAATTCAGATTATCAACAAAACAAACAAAAACGCAGAAAATATACGGAAAGATCAATCAATCCTACAAAGGGGTGTCGGTGTGTTTACATGCTGCTTTTATGCTGTTTAAACCCTCGAACTCCCAGCCTGTGAGCCTGGTGCTGCTGGAGGTTTCTTTCTGTTAAAAGGGAGTTTTTCCTTCCCACTGTCGCCAAAGTGCTGCTCATAGGGGGTCATATGATTGTTGGGTTT